TAGGACCTTAGACCGATCAGCATTCTTCCTTTTCTATCAAAAATGATTGAGAAAAACGCGTGCCAGCAGTTGTATTTGTATGCTAACGGTATTCTACCTAAGAAGCAATCTGGATTTCGAGCTGGACATAGCACAGCTACGGCTTTGCTGGATGTTGTTGATGATATTTTGTCAGGACAGGATACGGGAAAAGGTTCCATATTGGCTCTTCTGGACTTTTCACGTGCCTTTGACACAATCAATCACAATCTTTTAATGTCTAAATTATCATTTTATGGCTTTAGTAGTAGTGCATTAAGGTGGTTCTCAAGTTATCTCTGTGGGCGTTCACAGCTGGGTAAGATGGTCGATGAACGCGGAAATAAATATATTTCAAAAACAACCCCTCTCAATCGAGGTGTACCACAGGGCTCAATATAGGGCTGTTACCCGCGGCTACGCTCGCGTGGTTTTCCTATTTGAGGCTATCATCCTCTTTTGACATAGTGAGTAAAAAAGTAGCTTATAGCAACCCAAAGCTTCAACCTATTAGTGCAGTCATTGAAGCGAAAAATACGGTCTTACCTCCGAATTTTTTTTCTGTGAACCGTTTTGCATGAAATTTTGGAATTAGGCTCACCTTACCCTTAACTTCAAAAGTGAAAATGATCTGAACTCCGCCTATTATTTTTAAGGGGTGTAAACAACCCCTTAATGGAAAAATTGACATTGAGCCATTTCAGCAGGTAAGCAACAGCAACCAGTAGGTACCTACCTACCTTGATTGATTTTAAAGAAATACGATTTACCAAGGTACCATATCTGTTTTTGTTTTCCTTTGTGATTTGGTTTTGTTGTGCATTAAATGAATTAGGTAGGTATTTTGGTAGTTTCTTCGAATGTATAAAATTGACTCACTGATAAAAAATATGGAAAAACACATAACATCGTGTACAGTAGCGTACTTAAATAGTACTGCTATGTGTTCAAAATAATTAAACCCTTTATTCTAATAATACTAATGCTTTTACATTTTGAAGTTTTATTACGTACTATCCATAGTAGTATTAGGTATTATAATGAGAGTGTTTGTTTTGTTTATCCTTCCTCGAAGCCTAAACCACTTTGAAATTTGGTAAGTATATATAGTGCAGTCATTGAAGCATTATTACTCCGAATTTTTTTACTGTGAACCGAATTGCATACAATTTTGGAATAAGGTTCATCTTACCCTTAACTTCAAAAGTGAAAATGATGGTTGCCACCCCTTCTGGGGGTGATTTTTTTTTCAAAATAAGTATTGTAATAAATTTTAAGCAAAAAATCATCTATAAAGTTTTTCAAAAAATCCAATACTTTTCAAGTTATTGGCAATTGAAAATTCGAAATTTTTTCCCGTTTTTCATCGGTTTTTTGCAAATATCTCCAAAAATGTAAGTTTTATCGAAAATTTCATAAATAACAAAATTGTAGCAGGTAAAACAATGAACAATTTGGTTTTTTTATAGAGTATTCTAAGTGCAATACTAAGCTAGATATCAAAGATCAAAGCCGTTTTTTATTTTGTCTGAAATTTAATCGATGTGGTCAATGCCATCTAGCGGCGAGCAGATGCATTTTATGCATTCTAATACAAAATCTTTTTATGTCATACCAAAGTATTTTTTTGTGATTTTTTCAATTTAGGGGTTGTTTGCAAGGGTTGTAAGATTTTCAAGGGGTTGAAAATGATTTTAATATGGGGTATTAAGATAAAATACTTTACAATTTCATCACTTACTATTAGACATGTTTTCTAGGTATAAAATGGCTCAATGTCAATTTTTCCATTAAGGGGTTGTTTACACCCCTTAAAAATAATAGGCGGAGTTCAGATCATTTTCACTTTTGAGGTTAAGGGTAAGGTGAGCCTAATTCCAAAATTTCATGCAAAACGGTTCACAGTAAAAAAATTCGGAGGTAAGACCGTATTTTTCGCTTCAATGACTGCACTAATAGGTTGAAGCTTTGGGTTGCTATAAGCTACTTTTTTACTCACTATGTCAAAAGAGGATGATAGCCTCAAATAGGAAAACCACGCGAGCGTAGCCGCGGGTAACAGCTAGTTAAAAACAATAAATATAAAAAAGTAATGTTCATGAATAGCGCCATCCGAAAAACCTCAGATTTTTAGTGCAAGTAAACTCGACTCGGGTAGCGACATCTCTTCAGTTTCACACGCAACAGCTTGGTTTTCGAATTGTTATTCGAGTTGGTAGCGCCTACCTCTACTCAACATCCAGGATCATCTCCACTTGAAAATTATTGGATAATACTCGATTAAGGGACTAAAATAAATCATAACAGCTGTTTATTTAATATCTGTCTACTGTAAACAGCTGATTATTTAATATCTATTTGATGTTTATAAGATTTTCTGGTAAGATATTAGGACACTGAAGGAAGTCGTTTTTTTTTACTAATATTGTTTTAATTAAAATATCTACCTACATGACATTAAAATTAACAATAAATATTAAAAAGTCATGTTCATAAATAGCGCGATCTGAAAAAACGCAATATCACAACTCACATTTTTAGCAATTAAAAATTCTCGATATTAAAGACGGGTGGTGCCATCTGATAAGTTACTCAGAAAATATTATTTCAAGAGAGACTACTCGGTTGAGTTGGTATTCGAGATGGTAGCGCCATCTCTATCTATAATCACTCGAAAATGATATTTTTATATTATAAATTTGGAGTAGTATTTGCTAGATTTAATTTTAAAAATAAGATTAGAAAGAAATTCCGTAAAATTACCTTTATTGCGTATTTAATAAATGAAACACTAACACAAAATACTCGGTATTGAACACGAGTGGTGCCATCTCGTATTATTAAGTTAAGATAGCAACTTCCACATTTCAAATTTAATCTGTCTTCGTGACAGTAGCGCCATCTCTATCGGGACCAACCATGAAAATGATTAATTTAGTTGAAAATTATGTAAATTCGAATATATAAATTAAAAAAAAGTAGCCTATAGCAGGCTCATAAGTTCAAGCTATACATTTACCAAATTTCAACACAATCGGTTCAGCGGTTTAGGCGTGAAGAAAAGACAAACAAACGAATACGATACACTTTCCCATTTATAATATTAGTATGGATAGTGCAGATATGACAACTTGTATCAAAAAGTGTAATTACCATTTGTATGCAGATGACTTGCAAATTTATCTGTCTTTTAAACCTAATGAAACGTTAGTTGCTGTAAATCAAACCAACGAAGATCTTGAGGCTATTGAGAAGTGGGCCCATAAAAATGCCTTGGTTTTAAATCCACTTAAATCTAAATTTATTAAACTTGGTTCTAATATACAAATAAGTAGTATTAACAGATTTAATCCTGTAGTAAAGATAGGTAATTTGATCATAGAGCAGGTAACTGAAGCGCGATACCTCGAAATCCTTAAGGACAACAGGCTTCGTTTTCATAATCATATTTTGGAAACAGCGAAAACTTGTTATTACAGGCTTAAAGTGTTGTATCAGATTAGATTTTTTTTGGATGCTGACTTAAGAATTATGCTTTGTGAAAATTTAATACTATCAAAACTTAACTATGCTGACACAGTAATAGGCGAATGCATGTTTGGTTACACTAAAAAAATTATCCAAGGCATCCAAAATTCATGTGCACGCTATTGTTTTACCATTCCACGTAGGGCACATATTACACCTTTTCTCAATGGAAGTAATCTCATAAATATGCGGTCTAGACGATCACTTCATCTTCTATTTGGTATAATAAGAAGCACAGAACCTTCATATCTGTACGAAAAATTAAAATTTTCTAAGCGAATTAGAACTGTTTCTCTTCTAAGTTGTCCGAGTCATAATACAGCTGCATTTCGTGGGAGTTTTCGCTACTTCTTTTGTTTTTTTTTTAAGTTTCATTTTCGTTTATTTGCAATTTTATTGTTATTTTACCATGGCGTATCAAAATAAAATGGATTTAATGGAAGGTTACTTTATGAACCACAAATACATATTAGCTTTTCGGAGGTACTGCGAAAGATACTCTGATAAAGACGTACCTTAAAAAATCTTGCATTTAAAATGCTATGTTTCGATATTTTCGTTATCGTATTCGATGGTTACCTTAACATGTCGTGTTTTTTTTTAAATTTACGAGTTTGATTCCCAGTTGTAGCAGGCGATTTTAAAAAAATCTGTGAATGCAGTTCTAGTTATTATAAAAAATGAAACGAAGTCTTTTTTCAGTAAAATATCCTATCTCCAATATTGAATATAATTTCTCTGTGTGTGGTAGCCGTGGGACGCCCTATATATATATATATATATATATATATATATATATATATATATATCTGCCTCCACCGGGACCTCTCTAGTCGGCGACACCATAAAACCCGGCGTACATACCACTCGGTCACGGAGGTCGTCATACAGATATATTTGACGGCGATACCATTATCATGATCTCCCTGCTAAACATATGGCTTGGTATCGACTTTAAATATATCAGTCGCTAACGCTATTAACTAAATAAAGGTCGCGCATTTGGTCGCAATAGCCAGCAATAATTAATCTGGTCGTTGCGGCCACTGGTCGTGGTCGTGGACGTCTAGTGCGCGAGGTGGCTTACCCGCGCCAAGGATTTTAAGTGTCCAGACCTTATTTAAAACTAAAAAGAATTTAATGATTGGCAAAACAAATGATGATAATTTGTGTCTTAGGATTTAAGGATTTTAATTAAATTAAACAAGTTACAACGGGTTAGATGCACTGATTTTATTTATTTATTGACGTTTCGCATTCTTTGCAGGAATGCATCGTCGAAATGAAGATTTAAATAAATATATTGCAGGAAAGAAAAGAAAGATTCCTGCAAAGGATGCGATACGTCAATAATTAAATAAAATCAGTGCATGTAATCCGTTGAAACTTGATTTTTCCATCTATAAAAATTTAATGGTAATAAAAAAATCAATTAATTTCTTAAATGAACTCACCATGTGTTGAGAAACAAAACAAAGCGACCAAAAGGCACCTCAGAATCGTCTGCATCTTGAAATAAGCATTGGCGATACTAACTTTAGGTTGGGAATTCTTAATATATAAAACGGTCAATTCAGGTCACGGGGTATTTAGAATACCCAATTTTTTATGCCTATGTTTCGTATAAACGCAATTTAAACGATTATATTATAAAGTTTATCTTCTGTTTAATTATAAAGTTTATCTTTTGTTTGACCTGGGTAATCCAAGTGTAAACTAAAAAACTTACTTCTATGAAAAAAACATATTTTTGTTATCTACGCAAAGAACTCTCCACCAGCCTCTATATAAAGTTTCATGCGTATGAACCAATTTTCAAAACATTTTTTCCAGTCATAAGCTGCTAGCGCTACTTCCGGCGACGAAAACTGTCACCTGTCACAATATCGTTTACGCGTCGTGACGAGCCTGCATCAAATTTTTGTATCATATCACTGCGCCAATCCACACGGGCCTGCTTCTGAGCTTCGGTGAGGTAGTGCGGCACCCAGCGGGAAACTATCCTCCTTACACAAAGGTGCTCGTGCTAAATCTTATGAACACTTTCTGAACCAATCTGCAGAGTATGCTGAATCTCTTCGTACGTAATTCGTCAGTTTTCTTGAATTAATTTTTTTAATGCCAGCACACTTTCTTCGGTGACAGCCGTCGTAGGACGACCACTCCTTTGTTCATCCCTCAAAGTAACACGACCGCGTTTGAACTCGCTACACCAGCGGTAGATGATCGCTTTTCAAGTTCCTTCATCCATAAAAGCAGTTCAAAATCGATCAAATGACTCGTCAGATTTTAAGCCACATTTAAAATTGTAAAAAATCATAGTACGAAAACGTTGTTGATGCAGATCCATTTTTTAAATAGACAGGAAAAATTGGCTCTCGTAAAAATGTAGAGGGAAATTTGAAAAAAAAAAGTATCACGACCGAAAGTACAATGGCGAAATATTTGTTGAAGGAATTCTTTAGCGTCTATAGATTTCGTCATCAGAAATGCAAATAAAATAATCTTAACGGATTTTTCAAATAATTGATAAGGGTTGTCTAAGTCTGGAATGAATTATAAACTAAAAATTAAGGAAACTCAGTTGAATAATTATTACGTAATCACATTTTTTTATTGTGGCTTATCGTCATGTCTTCTGAACCTACTATTATAAGTGATTTCAGAGGTTAAATCAACCTCAAGTATGTTGATAGTATGTTTTGCATCGTTATACGCTTTAATTATATTTAATTAGCGTTCAGAAAGATTGTGAAACATTGTTTTATTCGATATTATAGTGAAAGCATAATAAATAGTCTCAACAATTCAAACAACTAATCAATCCGATATAAAGGGACAGACCCAGTGTTCTACATTAGAGCGTCTTCTCTGCAGATGCTGTATAAGAACTCACCAACTTTGTGGTAACAAACCTAGATAAGAATAAAAAGGTTATAGGAATATTTTTAGACCTAGCGAAGGCATTTGACACGATTTCTGTCCCACTTCTAATAAACAAGCTGCAGCGACTTGGGATTCGTGGTAAACAGCTTGATTTCTTTGAGAGTTATCTCACTGAGCGAAGACGGTGTGTTAGAATTGTTGATACCTGTAGTGGTGATCCTCCTGTTCAATATGGTGTTCCACAGGGCAGCGTTTTAGGGCCAACCCTGTTCCATGCCATCATAAATGACCTATGTCAGCTGATACTCACAAACGGGAAAATCATTACTTTCGCTGATGACACGGTGATTCTTTTCGAGGGTGATACATGGGATGAGGTCTATCGTTATGCACAGAAAGGTTTCAGCTTGGTTAGTAAATGGCTTGCTAGGAACCTGCTGACGTTAAACAAAGACAAAACTAAATACATTTCGTTCTCGATCAGAAACACTAATCATCTAGCTAACACCAACCACGAAATCATAGCACACTCCTGTGCAAACTTCACTTATGATTGCGATTGTACTCGACTACAGCATGCGGACCAAGTTAGGTATCTAAGTATCGTCATAGACAAAAATCTTGGTTTTCATTCATATATTGATTTACTGACATCTAGGGTCAGAAAATTGATTTACATTTTTAAGAACTTGCGTCATGTTGCTGATGAAAAAATAATAAGACTTACTTATTTAGCACTTTGTCAGTCTGTATTAACGTACTGCATTCCGATGTGGGGTGGTATACCTAAATCTAGCCTTATCAAATTAGAGCGTGCACAAAGGGCAGTTCTAAAGGTAGGTTATTTTCTGCCGTACTTCATTCAAAAAATTCAAAATTCAATATCGTTTATTCAGTCTAGGCTGTTACAAGCACTTGTGAATGTCGAAAAGCTACGCCATCGGTTCGCAAAACTACGGCGGGAGACCTTGTACTGAGAAGAACCGGCAAGAAACTCAGCAAGGGCTGCTTTTTTCTCCCTGTTTTATTTCATACAGTGTCGTCCAATTGAAAGTTGAAATCAAACTTGCAAACATGTGTTGAGGTCAACTTCCATCACATAATGTCAAATATGTAACAATCAATGAATTTACTAACAATAAGTGCAAAGATAAGTCCCAAAATAGCAAGAAACAATTTTCAAAATAAAATGAACAAGTATATGAAAGGGAGTAAGTGCAAGGTTCTCTTCAAAACTCTTTCTATAGCTGGGAGCCTTAGTTTTAATATAACTTTTGAAAAATTATCTACAAGTAAAATTACAACCAGGCCGTTTTATCATTCAAATATTGATTGACAGTATAATATCCTTTCTTAAGTAAACAATTTTTAATGTGTATTTTAAATTTATGAGGAGGCAAATCAAGGATATCAATAGGAATCTTATTATAGAAATGTATACCTTGACCCATAAATGATTTATGAACCTTCTGTAACCTGTAATTTGGTATCTTGAGTTTATTTTTATTCCTTGTATTAAAAGAATGTATGTCACTGTATTTTAGATAATAGTTAATATTGCTTCGAACAAAAAGTATGCAATTATAAATGAATTGAGAAGCAACAGTCAAAATCCCGATTTCTTTAAATTTTTCTCTAAGAGATGTTTTAGAACTAAGTTGATAAATAGCCCTTATAGCTCTTTTTTGCAAGATAAATATAGTTTCAATATCGGCTGCTGATCCCCAGAGAATAATACCATAGGATACAATACTATGAAAGTAACTAAAGTATACAGTTCTAGCAGTAGCTACATCAGTAAGTTGTCTTATTTTACGTATGGCACAGGCTGCTGAACTAAGTTTACCAGCTAGCAGAGAAATATGAGGATACCATTGCAATTTCGAGTCTATGGTTATACCTAAGAATATCGTTGACTCAACTAAATCTAGGTTTTCATTGTTTAGTTTAATTCTAATGGTTTCGCTTCTAACATTAGGTAAAGTGAATTTAATGCATTTGGTTTTATTTGCATTTAATTTTAAGTTATTTACATTAAACCAGTGCAATACTTGTGAGAGAGCATTATTTACATCGTCAAAGTTATTCTTGTATCGGTCAACCTTAAATAATAAAGAAGTATCATCAGCAAACAATACGATCTCACACAATTTTTCCACAAAAAATGGCAAATCGTTTATGTACAATAAAAATAGAAACGGACCTAAAATCGATCCCTGGGGAACGCCCATTTTCACATAAGATCCAGATGACTTAACACCATTTAACTCTACAGTTTGAACTCTGGAACGTACTTATATCCTACTCTGGACTTATACCGGAAATGTAAGGTGCTAACGGTGAGACAACTTTTTATCCTTTACACTGTCATTAGAATACACAGCTCTTTAACATATAATCCCCTCCTTAACATTAATAAACGTAAAAAAGGCAAGGTTTGTCAGATAAAAGAGTTCAAAACCAGTTTTTCCCACAAAGCATGTTTTTTAGGTCCGATGTTGTATAATAAAATAAATCAAATCATTCCTATTTATCATCTTTCGAGGTATGAAACTAAAGGGGTTTTGAGTGATTGGCTTCTGGGCTTAACGGACATTGAAACTGAAAACCTTCTGACTGTTCCATCTTGAATCTTCTAATGCATTTTATTTTTTATTTTGGGATTTGATTTTTCTTTTTAATGGATTTTGTATGGCAAATGTATGTGCATTACATACACGAACTCCCTACATGCAAGCTTACAAACATACACACACACACACACACACACACACACACACACGCACGCACACACACACGCACACACACATACACGCTCACGCACAAACACACATTAACAGACACCCACGCACAAACATACACACACTCAAACACCCGCGTAGATACACACAACTTGATTATTATTAGCGTTAAATTAGTCATTAATTTAAGTAGTTATATTATATATCATATCGTTTATTCTCTCGTGAAAATGAGTTTATTGAATACTAAAGTGTAGTATGAAAGTGATGACCGGCGGAGTGGGAGCCTGGTGATCTGTAAGACAGGTTTCACAACCTAGTGCAGACACCAGTCTCAGGAAAGGTTAAATTTTGCTAATTATACTTTGTATTTTGTAATATAAGACTTTGTAACCATTCTTGAAAGAAATAAATAGATTATTATTATTATTCTCTTTTTCAAAACTTCATGTTAATTACAATACAACGCTATCTCAGTATATTGCTTTCATAGTGTGCGCCTCACTAAATTTCCGGGGGCCAAATGTACGGAGTTGAGTCCGAGACAAGTCTCGGCGGACAATTTTTTCATGATACGTGTACAAAACTCCCCCGCGGACTAAAGTCCATTCTCTGCGCGGGCCATTATTATGTTTTTTTTTTTATTTTGCCGCTAAACTACGGCAAATATGGATTTTTATACAACTATTGCCGGCCAGTGGTCGCATGTATTTGGTCAGTGCAAAAAATTCGATTTATCTCCAAGAAGGTTGTCAAAATAAAACATGTTTGAGAAAAAGTATATTTTGTTTCCTTTAAAATCCAAAAGGATGTTGACCAAACAGAGTAGGATTATTATAGTATATTATTATGATCCGAAGACCGCCAGACCTTACTTAATTTTCTCATGGATAAAATAAGAGATGAACAAAGGAAATGGCAAAATACAGCTGTGTTTTTTGCTTTAGATATTAAAAATTTCTAGCAATAAAAACTGCTGACAAAATGTGTCTGACAGTATTAATTTCGAACTGTTAGCAATATTTTCTACAACATACATAGCAATCGGTCCTCAGACTGTAAGTAAAGTGAGTAAAATTTTAACACACCTGTGCCATCTGAAAATTAGCCCACAGCACAAGTTAGCGAGTATGTGTACGTTCATTGTACACAATAACACTACTCAAATATGCATATTTTTTCCACAAGTAAAAAAAATTAGGTCTGGCGGTCTTGTGATCTTACTTTAATAGAACATCACAACTTAATGGTGTTAGTTACCCGAAAGGTTGTAGCAGACATATCAAATCGGGAAGGGGTCATAAGCGTATCAACTCGAGCCGTTCAGTATTTTTGTATGAAACTTTCTACTGCAGCACAGACTGGTCGCAATCTTAATGTAATCGCCTCGCCTCGGGATATGCTTGTATTTCTTCGTGAGACGATTCGTTGCGATGCCGATAAGTGTGTGTTACAGTAAGAAGTTTCATGCAAAGAATACTGGACGGATCAATTTGATAAGGTTAACCACATAAGGGGTTATCACTTGCTTTATTTATTCTTGCTTTTGTAAATCTTGAGATCATATTTAAATTTACTAATAAAGTTTTCTGGACAGTACGAAGTGTTTCTCTCGCACACAAATGGTGCAACGGCATCGCATGGGAGGTCAATGTATCTGCCATTGTGGTCAACAGCGCCGCAGCCTTCCGCGTTGAAATCGCGCGTTGGGAACTCGCCGAACCCTGCTTCGATCAAAGATTGTCCTGAAACATTTGTTTTTGATGTTAGAAAGGTTGCAAAGATGCCTAACAAGCAAAGAGCCTTCCTGATGGTAAGCGGCTACTATAGCCTAGAGAGGCTTGCCATGTGAAAAAGTCGCTTGCACCGATGCATAGCCTGACCCAATGCTCTACCCCAAGGAGCTCTCGAACCTTAGTCACCAACAGGCAATGTACTAATTTATTTTAATATCCCTTTACCCGGCGATAGAATTTTTCTAATTAGGTTGTAATTAATTTCATTTTTCCTGTTTTCTGTGATGTCACTGCTCTGGGTATGGCAGAATACCAGTGCAGCAGGAACTTTACATTACGATATAGCAGAGCTATATCCAGCGTTGGTATCACATAAAATACACATTTGTTTTTTGTTGTTGTTAACTTTACATGTACGTTTTGTTTTACTTTATGTTAAATGTATTTTTTGTATTTTCATGTGTATGTTATGTGTTGTCAGCAATAAAATCATTTTTCTTTCTTTTCTTTCTTTCTTTCAATTTGAGTGGTAAACCCGCTATGTCCTGTCTCTCTATGAGAAAACAGAAATTCAAATATTGTCTTCGAATTCGCTTTCGTTTTAAAACTAAGTTTTACAAGAACTGTATCCCTAGCACGAACCAATATCGAATTCGTATCGTTTGCGAGTCTGAAATGTCATTCTCAAATATGTACTGATATTTAGTTCTCGTTACGTACTTTGTGCCGCTGCTGTTCAAGTTTCCATACAAAATTTGACATTGACATTTCGGTTTGCAAACTATTCGAAATCGATAATGGTTCGTGCTTAGGATACTGATCTAGTTCTAAAGCAATCAATTTGAGACAAATCTTAAGGAAAACCTAAAAATATAAAGATGTGCTTTTAATGATCGGAAGCTAAAGAGAATCAAACCAAACAAGATAAACTCAGTTTTGGATTCACTAGTTACCCGCCTTCGATTCACTTCGTTGTAAACTATAGATCCAAAAAGAGCCAATTTGTTCGTAAGCATGTTATTAAACATAATAAGCTTTCGTGAAAAAAGTGTTAACTTTGTATTATTATGATGTTGGAATTTCTGAATAAAATCAACTAGTCATTTTACAATAAGTTCGTGTTACAATATCATGCTCCTTTTTAACCGACTTCAAAAAAGGAGGAGGTTCTGTGTTCGACGGTATATATATATATATATATATATATATATATATATATATATATATATATATATATATGTATGTTCACCAATTCCTCCGTCAATTGTGGATCGATTCCCAAAAGTCTTTTTTTTTCTTCTTTTTTTCTTTCTGAGTTGGTTCCAATGGGACCACCCATTGGAACCAAATCAGGATCTGATGGTGGAATCCGGGGAAATCGAGGGAAATCTTCAAATTTCAAAGATATGCACGATGTTTTTATATGCATGTTCACCGATTTCTCAGTCAATTGTGTTATTGTTTACTTGGACGATGTAATTTTCACTAAAATTGAAAAAATAAAAAAATAAAAACTAAAAAAAAACCGACTTCATAATCGAAAATGGAACTAAAAAGTAAAAAATAATGACCTCGCGCGACTTCCAAATCATGAACCAGATATTATTTTTTACTTTTTACCCGGCTGCGCAATGCAAGAGCGCGAAGCGCGACGCGCAGACAGGGTTATGTGTTTAACAGTCTATATATGTATGTTTTTTCCTTTGTGGCACACTAGAGACCAAACGCCTGGACCGATTTTGATGATTCATATATCAATCGATTCGTCTTAATCATGGGAGTGCTACTAAAGATATGATAGTAATCAAAATTCAATATGGGCAAAATTAGGCGCCATATTGTGACGAAGTAAAAAAAATAAGTTGACAAAATATGTTGAGTGGGGTATCACTGTCTAGATAATCAAAAATCATATTTAGGTTCCTAACACCATTTTTCATTTTATGTGATTGTTTATTAGTTCCATTTTCGATTTTGAAGTCAATTTTATTTTTTGTTTAAATATTTTTATATCAATGTACATATTTATGACCGGATTCATTGTGGTTTAGTTGAAATATTCTTGGTGCTGAATTTATAAAGATTGTGATGAAACTATTCAGTTCACTCCATTTAATACTTCCTAATACATACCACTCGGTATTGTCTAGTCTAGACAAAAGACAGCAGGATTATTAATATTAAGGCTAATGTCTTTGGAGGAAAAACAAATGGATACCAATACCCTAGTATTAGGAACGCTTCGCGTATAGATATTAATTATTTGTATAAGTAAAAGCAACAGCTGGTATTGATTAGATTTTTCCTACGGGCCGTTTCACTTGAAGGCTCCGAATTTATGACATGGGTATAAATGTCATTCATACTCACTAATCGTAATAACTATTGTAATAGTTTCAATTAGCTTGAGAAACCTGGGCTCTAAATTATTAATATATTGTTTTTATATTTTGCATAAAAGTATAACTGGCAACCGTTGCCTTTGTTTGTATTTATACTGTATGAGACAGCAATCAAAATGCAAGTGAACAATTAATGTAGATTTGATCATCATGTAACGAAAGGTGACTTCATGAATCATCTCTGAAGTCATTGTTTAACTTGACGACTCTGTAAATAATAAAACAGGGAGAGAAAGAAACAGCCCTTGCTGAGTTTGTTGCAGGTTCTTCTCAGTACAAGGCCTCCCGCCGTAGATTTACGAACCGATGGCGTAGCTCCTAGACATTCATGTGTGCTTGTAACAGCCAAAACTGAATAAATCATTATGATTACTTATGACGGAACCATCAACGCACAGCTCAACCACTGAACGGATTGCGCTGAAATTTGGCACACATATAGCTATTAGGATGGAGGCGTGCGCGATATTCATGCATCCATAACTTAGATACAAATGCTCGTGTTCATCACACAAACATTGATCCCACCAGGATTCGAACCGACCTGTGAGTAGGCGACGGCGACGCCTTGAAAACCGGCGTAGATACCACTCGAGCCATGGAGGTCGTCATCATACTCGTATATTTCGTTGACGTGCAAGACATTTTTTTTTCACAAAGTATACCTACCGTGTATCGTTCTCCATTCTTCTGAATCCGCTTCTCTTGTTATACCCACGAAAGCGGCGTCGACTTTTGACGGGACAGCCATACTGCTCTCTGGGTTTTGAGAGAACAGACTCTTAAGAGAGTTTGCCTCATCTATGGAATTAATAACAGCCAGATAGCCGCCCTCAGACGAACAAGCCATGAAAGCCTTTTGGAATGTTCTGGGCTCCCGATGTATTTTGTAGCAATGACGAGTCTCCTTGTTATATTTGTAATCTGAAATAGGATGAACATAAAGTTAACTGTAGTCGCAATCGAAGGGTAAAATGCAATGTAATTTATTCTTTCAGTTAGTTTATAAAAACAAGATGAACACGTATTTTTTCTTTTCTCAATCGACCAAAAATGACAAAGAAAAACCGTGTCATAGTTTAGGAGCGAGGTTTCGTGAAGTCGTGATGATTTTTCAAATTTTGACTATGTGAATAAAGTAAGAATAATCGAGGAGCTCGATGGCGCAGGTGGTTAGCGCGTTCGGCTGTTATCGTTGAAGTTAAGCAACTTTCGCAGTGGTCAGTCATTGGATGGGTGACCAAAAATCCTCTATCTTGAGTTCCTCCGTGCTTCGGAAGGTACGTAAAGCCGTTGGTCCAGGCTGCATCTGCAGTCGTTAGCACCCGCCAATCCACACTGGACCCGCGTGGTGGGTCATGGCCCAATCTCCCTATTCCATCCATAAGGAAGGCCTGTGCCCCAGCAGTGGGGAAATTAATAGGCTGATGATGACGATGATGATGAATAAAGTAAAAAATACGTGTCTATTGCTTATTGATAATGTACCTGTCATATTGAAAAGTTTATCATCCTCCCTATTGTCAGCGCTTTTGTTCTGCGATTGTGGAAGTTAAACCACTTTTACAGTGGCCGGTAATAGGATGGATAACCAAAATTAATTATGTCGAGTTCCTGAATGCTACGAAAGGCACGTTGAGTCGTTGATCCGACTGCATCTGTTAGTCGTTAGTACCGACCAAACCGCACTGGGGCTGCATGGTGGGACATATTCAAATCTATTCCATCCTTAGAAGATAGACTTGTACCCCAGCAGGCACCATCATATGGCTGAGTATGATGATGATACCCACCTATATTGAATTAAGGTAAACCCTAAAATTCAGGTATACAAAACAACTTTGAAATTATGTTTTTATTTATTTTTAAGCATTTAACTGCTAGATGTTTAAATCTAAGAAAAGTTTACTAGAAAAAAATCCACGCGGACCAGGCAGCGGACGGGACTCGAACCCGCACCCTTCGCAATCCGGACGAATGCACTGACCATTATGCTACCACGGCCCTATTCACCGCGTTGAAATTTTCCTAGCCTTAAGCTGCAAGGCAGCGCCATCTCTTCGCATTGTAGGTAACCCACAATGTCAAATGAATACTTTTTCAAGTATTAAATATTTGAAAGAAGACATAGCAATTATAGTTATGTTTTTATTTATTTTTAAGCATTTAACTGCTAGACCGCTAACTTTGAAATTATTTCGTTTAATGTGATTATACATATAAATAACACAAATTTAAAAACTAAATGCCATTCCTGATGGCAGCGCTGGGGGTGATATGTTTTTTTTTTATTTTGTAAATGATTTATTTATGTAGGTAGGTAAACCTTTAATTCAATATTTAATTGCTAGCTGAGCTACCCAAAACTTTTAAAAATATTTTAATTAACACTCTTATAAATATTTGCATGCACCAGTGCCTATTTTCAGACTTTTCCGCATAAAATATTTCCACTGATCCTAGACATACAGAATTAATGTTAAATAAATACCTTTCTGAGGATAAATTTAATTCAATAGCAAATAATATTTAGGAAAGGGTTTTGTATTTGCAGATATGTGTAAAGGAAAACAATGAAAGACCTCCGGATTATAATTAAGGCACATTAAACAGCCAAAGGCCAGCAAAATGTACATAACTAGAAATAATAAACATAAGTGAATAAATAGAAACAATAACAAATATAAAAAAAAAACTCTTCAATGAAATTTTTAATGATGAAAGTAAACGGAACGAAAGGCATGGAAATCAATAATCCTAACAAAGATGAATAATTAAATAAGAGTTTACATAATATTCACGAAACTAATTCAGATAAATTAAAGTGAAATTAGTTGACCTAGGGTAGCATAACATCTCAGTAAATCCCCGTGAGTTTTCTGCATTGTTTTTAAAAGTATTGAAACATTCGCACTGAACATACTTTCACTTGGCACGCAAAAACAAAAACTCGTTGTGCCATACGTTTTCCAACATTATAAACTTTATTATTCCGCGTATAATTTTAATCAGTGCTAGACTGTACCTACTGGTTAACGACACCTATATCCTGCTGCTCTTAATAAGAGACACAAAAATAGAAAATGGTTCATATATCTTCCCATAAAAAATGGCCAAAACCTTCTTAATACGAAATAATTTACAAAAAATATGTACATATCGTATATATAAAAATATGTTCTTATTAATATATTTTAAAATCAATTTAGTTATATTTGTAATTTTAAAATCTATGTTCGTTATACGGATTATAAAACTACGTACGAGGAAGTTACAATGGATACGATAAATAAAAACACACGAATTTATAAAAAATCAACTTACCGGTCGTGTTAAAATGTCGAAATTTTATATTTTTTTGTCACATGACGCTGTGAAGCGGCCACGAGAGCCGGCGCGCAACTACTTCGCCTCGTGGCTCTAGACCGCGCTCAAAGTCGCCACGCGCCGCTCCGTGGCTCTAGACCGCGTCCAAAGTCGCCACCCGCCGCTCTGTGGCTCTAGACCGCGCCCAAAGTCGCCACGCGCCGTTCCGTGGCTCTATATCGCATCCAAAGTCGACACGCGTCGCTCCGTGGCTATTGGCCGCGTTTGCCGCGCTTCTCCTGCTATGTGCTGCACCTACATCTATTGAGAAGTCCAGTGCTTGTGGCACTGGGGACATTTATAGATTGATTATTATATGTACATACCATTATCAACAGTACCACATTGATTGACCAACAAGTCCTCTGTTTTCTCCTTATAACACACGTAGGGGTAAGTCTCTGAACATTTCACTGGTTTCAAAGAACCGTCTTCTAACAGGACTGAGCATTGCTCATCATTGTTTACGTTCATGGGCTGACCAAGTTTCCACGCATTCTTAATTTCGCTATAAGGAACACCTGTAATAAGTGTGTAATTTAAAAAATGACGATTATCGTGACGTTATGAAAATTAAATACTATACTGCAAAAGTTCTTTCCTTCATAGTCAGTTGATTTTTTTTAAAGATTGGACCGGCAAATGACTCTACCCCACCTAATGTTTAATGACGATGAAATCCAGAGGTGAAAATAGTTAGTACAGTAGAGATGATTCCAAGGAGGGCGCTGCCCGGCGCTGCACGAGGATTAATTAGTACCTAAAATCTCTCCTTTACCTTTGTAAAATTAGTTCCGAATTTGGCTTTGTGTCGCACTGTATCATATATTAAGAACATACTTATTTTTGTATCAAAATTTGTTTCAGTTTATGCTAAGGCATTAAGTAAGTTTTACCATTTAAGATAGTATGAAAATTATAATGAAAATTTTTGTTTAACAATATAAGTATTCTCTGTAACATAGATAACGTCTTTTATTAGCGTCAAAGTAGTGAACTTTTGCAGTAACGTGCTTCGCATGGTATTATCAGTTGCATAATAGTTAGTGCATTCACCCGAGTAACTAAGAGACCTGTTTGAATTTTAATCTGCTGTTTGAAATGAACTTAATACACACATCGAAAAATAGGGATGATGACTATTTTTTTTTCTTCGTTTATCAGGTAGATTATCAAAAAGTATTGGACACGTATTTTTTCTTTTTTTCACATAATATAAACATTGCATAGATATATTGATTTGAAAAGTCGCATGGCGTCACGTTTTGGTACAATTTTCACTTAAAAGCGACGTCACGAGCCCTTACTCCCAAACTTTGACGCACTTTATCTTTGTCATTTTTTGGTTGATTGCCCATAGAAAAAATACGTGTCCATTATTTTTTGATCATCTAACTGACGGACTAAATAGAATTTCGTTTACTTTACCCCGTCATCATGCCTATTCTAAGCAACGCTCATCATTAACAGAAACCGTGATTTATTTATTTGATTGCAATTTTTTTCTCAGCAAAAAATATTGGTATATAACTGCATCTTGATAAAATTCAGATGGGCCGCTTATTAAATACTATCATAAAAATGTTTATTTTATGTCTGATTTTGTTTTCGTGTTTGTGTTTTTTTTTTATTTTTTAGTTCTGTATTATTATAATGGGTTGTATTGTAACTGCTCTATTGTATTAGGTTATACCTATAATGACAGATATAAGTGATTATTAAATAAATAAATAAATAAAATAAAAAAAACAAAAAATTAAAAAAAAAACTTTTTTGTCCCGGGATAATAATTAAATATTAAAAAAAAAGAAGAGTTTCTTTTTTTTTAAATAGCTAATTAAAAAAAAAGATTCAGTTATATACCAATCTACTTTGCTGGGAAAAAAATGCAATCAAATAAATAAATCACGGTTTCTGTTGTTGATTGTGTTTTATTTTTATAATAAATAATATTACAATAAGTAGTAAAAAACGTGTGAAAGTTCAACATCGCACATGTTGCTTGAACTATTTCGATGAGTGTATTTTCTAGAATATATTTTACAAATATATGCGTGAGGTACCTTCAATCGAATGGAAATCCCCTTTTGAAAATGTGGCATGGATTCCAGTATAAATGGGTTTTTTGATAAGATTTAACTGCATACTCAATATAGAATTAATCTGCGATGTTATTGGAGATGCCAGAACTGCACCTGATGATAGAAATAGTATAGTTAAAATTATGGTTTTTTATCTTACGTTAGTCGAATGGCATACTAAAAGTTATATCGTTGGTCCCAGGTGCGCCATCAATACTCTCAGACGTTGATCCAACTATGTTATAATAATTAATTTATTTCGCAAAACTCTTCGGTCTTCAGTTCATTAAATTTTACAGCTCATACTTTAGTATAATTTAAAATTATTAACGAAACAAAAAAGAAAAACTAAAGATTTTGATATAAAAGTGCAATTTTTGTCATCTACCTGTCACAAGCATTTACATTTTGCTGCCATATTTTTTTATATTGCGTATAACCTTAGATTAAAACAAAAAGGTAAGATACGATACGCTCATACTAGCATCAAATAAAATATGCTCCAACTCAACTACATAAGCAACTATCAAACACGCACACGTCTGTAAATAAACATTCAACCGAGCGAGCGAGACAGAACTGTATGCTTCAACGCAGCGCGAGCGAAACGGCGAGTCCGCTTTCGAGTCCGCATGGCTGAACTGTATTGTTGTCCTTTTCTTGATAACAAAATGGCGATTACGTAAATAACACTTACGACAAGCCGTCATTTTTTTTTTGAAAAAAATGATGTTATAGATTTACAAATGAAAAGTGTTACCAAGGCATTTGTTATTTGATTTTAAGCTATTTGTGTTTTTTAAAAAAGCAACGAAGGTATTGTTTCATCTTTATAACACAGAATATATACGCAATGTTGTTATATTGAGTGCACATGCAGCATATTTGAATGTCTAATTGTGACTAAAGCGTATTGTGGTCATGCACCACAATTTAAGCGGATCACTTTTGTGCCGCGAGTGCCGTATCTTCCCTTTTTGTTTTAATCTAAGCATATACAAGTTATGTATATGCTTACCAAAAGGCTCTGTGATGTGCTAGCGGTTCTCAACACGTGTTTATATTGTTAAGCCCGAGCCACAGCTATGGGGATTTTAATAGACTATTATGATATTTAATACTCTTACCTTCTAACTGACATCTGAGACGAGCGTCTTCCCAGTTAGCGGGGAAATCGTGTAATTTGATCCATCCCTGTAAGGCTTGTACGTAGTGATAATCGCAGCGGAATGCGTTCTCTTCATTACCTTAAAACAGAAAAAGGTTTGAATCTAAATTAATGTCAACAACAACAACAGTGCTATTCTATAACAACAAACTTACTTTTCACCGCGGAATCCGCTACTGTAATTTGAAATTTACTTGAAATTTCTGTCCTAATTATAAATCAAATCGCGGATTCCGCGGTGAAAAGTGAGTGTGAGAAAAGTGTTCTTACGGAATAACAATGCACGCAAAAAATATCAGAGGACATAAAATACTAATATTGTAAACCTGGGTGCACATGTACGTTTTCCTGATCAGGAATTCCGATTCGGAAACCTGAATGAACATCCTTACAATCGAAATGTTCAACAAAGCGCACACTATATTTTTTTTATTGTTTTATTCAATAATATACAATTAAAAGGTTAACGTCGGCAGCTGCACTAGTATAAAACTGTGGCACAGCTGCCTACGTCTTCCATCTTCAGGGAAAACAAATACAAGCAAAGATAGCAAAAATGTAACAATATAAAATATATATATATATATACAGAGTGTTACAAAAATACAAATAAAGCTTGAAGGGCGTTGAAGTACATCATATAAGGAGTCTTCTCTAATTTACTTAAAATATTTGCATGAATTTTTAACTTTTTATGAAAACAGATATTTTTAATGATCCTCGAACTAGTGATGTGTCTTAAAATGATCGATATTTTTATTAATCATTAAAAATAACTGTTTTTATAAAAAGTTAAAACTTCATGCAAATATTTTAAGAAAATTAGAGAAGACTCCTTATATGATGTACTTTTACGCCCTTCAAGCTTTATTTGTATTTTTGTAACACCCTGTATATATGGAAACGAAATCAAATTGAAAATATAAGTTCAAAGTTGTCACAATCACCCACAACATCAAAATCAGATCATTAAAAAACAATTTATAATATAATAGCATAATTTCTTCAGTCTCATCAAAGTTCAGAAGCAACAGCCAGTCTTTAAGTTTTACCTTGCATTCGTGGAGAGGTAGCCGATATTTGTTTAAGGTTTTGATTACTGCATTATACAGATAAGGTCTAATAATGCAGAAATGTCGTTTCGCAAAACTATTTCTATGGGGCACCATTAGGCAAACCCTCCTTTTATTGCGTTTGACTGGAATGTATTGCAAACTTTTATGTCTGCGCAGGACGTTACTCAATATAAACAGTCTTCTCACTGACAAAACAGGACATTCACAGTAGAGAAGTGAGGTGACTGTATCTACGTGGTTTTCCCAGCCACACTTTTTTAATGGCCCTTTGAGCTTTCTCTAACGGAAGCTGTGGACTAATCCCAACCCCACCCCAGCACAAAATACAGTATTGAAGTAATGATTGAACTACAGCAAAATAAACACACAACAAAATATCGCGGTCTGCTGAAGATCGAAGCTTACGGAAAATAGGAATTAGTTTTCTAACACGACAAGTCAGATTTTGTATATGAGATTTCCAGTTAAGATTACTTTCAAGAGTTATTCCAAGGTATCTTATATTTTGTGTGCGCTTCAATTCGCTACATTGACCCTGAGAAGTGCAAAGGTGCGCTTTTAGTTGGAAAGTGACTTCATGAGTTATCTCATATTGAAGTCATTTTTCAAATTGACGACTCTGTATACAATACAGGGAGAAAAAAACAGTCCTTGCTGAGTTTCTTGCCGGTTCTTTTCAGTACAAGGTCTCCCGCCGTAGATTTGCGAACCGATGGCGTAGCTTTTCGACATTCACAAGTGCTTGTAACAGCCTAGACTGAATATACGATATTGAATTTTATGGAGATGGTAGAAGGGTATCGGCACGGGTTAAAAAAGTTGTATACTGTGTTTTGTCTACATTTAATGTAAGCAAGTTATCTCCCAGCCATCGCATATCTTTCTGAATGCATCTTCAGTATGATGCCTAGCCTGTTCTCAATCCCTCCCCCATACAATTAAAGCTGTGTCGTCTGCGTAAGTTATAATATTACAGTTATGAAGTGATAACAAGCACATACTATTTATATATATGAGAAAAAGTGTTGGTCCTAATTATTCTGTTTTTTTAGAATGGAAAAAACCTTACTTTCGATTCTGTCACTAACAAAAAACCGAAACGTTATCTCTAGGCTCACGCAATACCGGATCAGGAAACCGGACCGTAATTTCAGGGTTCCATGCAAAGAGTGTCCTGGTATTCTATGACTAAGCCTTATCTGTTTCTTCCTCTATTTGTTCAAAGTTCAAATCATTTATTGTACCATTTTGTTACATTGATCTTAGATAGAAATTATAATTATAGATACAAACATGACCCTGCTAAGGCATTGCAAAAGAGTAAATAAACACAAACATTTTCTCAACTTGTCAACTTGTCAACAACTTTCAATTTGTCAACAAGCACGTATGTTGGAGCGAATAAAGATACCTATCTCTTTTTCCTTTATGAATAGTTGTAAAATACTATTGAGAAAGAAAGCACGGTAGTTGGTAATCTATATTAAAGCGTTTATTTTATATAGCGTAGGAAAAAATATTGGACGATGCAAAAGAGATTTCATTAAGTCAATTTTAATAAAGTATATGTGTATTTTCATTTCATGTACTTACACCATCATTGCAATAAAACTAAGCACTTTTTTTATGTTCTACTTTTAGAATATTTTATGATTTGCCTAAGGTTACGAAAAGCAATTCCGTGACAAGACTCTTTATCTCTTTTCAAATTATTTCTGAGCCCTCCTTCAATGAAATTCAGATAAAAAATCTAATCAAAGTTGTATACAAGACAAGATAATTGTATAAAACACATATATTCATATAAATTTTGTTTTACCATAATTTGTTTAAAAAAGGCATTTTTTAAGGACTTTCCAACTTTAAGTTATTACGTACTCGAGTTGACGATCGAAAGTGTAAAGCTTAGCAAAATTATACCTTCATGGTTCAAAGTTGCAAAGTATATGCTGACCCCCTTAATAATAAATGAGGGGTAAGTGTAGACTAGTGATGCCGTGTTTTATTTATATCACTCATAAGTGACATTTGTAAGTGATTTAATGAACAGAGCCAAAACAAAGAGTAATTGATCCAAGCTTATTTTTCGTTTGTTAATAAGGGTAAAGAGCTTTAACTGTAATTGGTGAAAAACCTTTTCAACCATAATAAAATGGACTCTATAAAAACACTACGAAAAATTAAGAAATAAATTTTAATTCTTTACCTTAATTATCGAGATTTCATTTGACATGTGAAGAAATGTACCTAAAATTTTCAACTCAACGACTCCATAAATAATAAAACAGGGATAAAAAAAACAGCCCTTGCTGAGTGTCTTGCCGGTTATTCTCAGTACAAGGTCTCCCGCCGTAAATTTACGAACCGATGGCGTAGCTTCTAGACATTTATGAGTGCTTGTAACAGCCTAAACTGAATAAATGATTTTGATTATGATTACGATTATAACAATATTTGGAGTCGATGTTATGCCAACAAACACACCGAAATAGATCTGCGTTGCCGGTCATTACTTAGGTTAGTGGGTACTGCCAAAAATAGAAATATATGTTCAGCGAATATAATCCATTCAATTTATTACCACAATACATACAAGAGCAGTAGCGTAACTCAGCCGTTTTCTTGAAATAGATACCTACGACTGAGCGGAGCGCTAGGGTTGGTTCCTACAAAATGTAAAACATATTTGTGTAGATTTTTATTGTATATGTATAATCATTGTTGAGGATAGGAGGAGGATAATGGATAAAAACAGGAATAACGTTAATAAAATATATTAAAGCACATTAAGTACGACGAGAATTTTAATAGTTTGAGTGACAGCATAAACATAGATAAATCGTAGTTATAAAAATGACAATAAGTAGGTTTGATTTGCCACAATTACTATTGCCACGTTACGGCATCGAAACGGACGCAGATGGCGAGGGCGGTTCGGCGCAGCTGCGTAGATTTGTCTTGGCAAGATTGGTTAGCGGCCGTGTAAATGGCGTTTGTCTGTGTGCGTGCGTCGATTCGTGCGCTAGTATGAAGTCAGAGTACTACTATTGTATGTATTGTGCTGTTACTGTCCATGAAGAGCACCCCACGGACAAACGGACTAGTGGTGGCTCAGTAATAGGGTTTTATTATCAACCTCTAACTAAGGTACTCTAAAAATGGCGATTTACAGTGTAAGCAAT